CTACTTTTTTGTGTTGATTTCCTATTTTACCCATATTTATTATCTCCAACTCACACTCTCTCTCCCTCCCCCTTCTCTTTCTTTTAATAATTTAATTATTCTCTCTCATGCTCTCTCTCCTTATTAATGAGGGCATTTGTGGAAAAAAATTATACTTTTTACACATTAATTGTTTTAAAAACTAATTTTAACTATTTTTTTTTTTGATCAACGTACTTCGGTTATTTGTCTCTTATAATAAGGAACGGAGGGAGTAATATTAAGCTCTGGCAAAAAACTAAATATGGTAATTAAGCCGCTGATTAAATTTGACGTGCAGTGTATAGTAAACTATCTAGCCCTCAAAATTGTTTAAGAAAAAGCAGTGCTTATGCTGTGCTAATTATTCTGACGCTGTGGTAACCCACAATCAAATTACCATTAAATTAAATCTAAAGAACTGATGGCAATAGTAATTATTATCAAGTTGAGGTTAATTAATAATTATTCATAACTGTTTCGGTTTTGACACTGGAGTATGAGTTATGTAGTTCGAATTTTAGAACAAAAGAACACACACACAAAAAAACATGTGGAAAATGATTTTTTTAAGAAAAGGGTTCACACAATTCTAGCTTAGCACGTCAAGGAATTAGAAGCTGGAAAAAACAATTGGAATACAAACACATACATAACATTTAGTTATGACTGACCTACTTTTTTCCTCCTTTTCTCTTGAAGTCAAATTTCAGCACTCAAAATGTCGTACATCATATCCATATAAGGGAACGTGAATTCCACCTTTTCTAGTTTGAATGATCACTGCATTTTCTTGCCCACAAGTCTTGTGAAGCTTCTATTTCTGCCCAAAAAATAATTAAAAAGATGATTAGTTTGAGATAACAACTCCGATCAGATTTTCCTTAAATAGGAGGCAGCATGAACCCTCCAAGCCAAGCCTCAATTATGTGATATGTATCATTATTTGCTGTTGTAATAATTATTCTTTTGATGGACTGAAGTGAGGCCAGTTGGATTATGAGATTTTAATAGAATTAGGTTTGTCTCTTATGGATGGAATTAAAGATCATTAACAAAATACTTATAATTATCCACTCCTGAAGAGCTTTTGATATTGGTGTGGTAGTGGCTGAAATAATCCATAGTTGACTAATTTGAGTAGATTAAGAAAGTTTATTGAGTTAGTTATTTGTAATAATTAGATATTGTCTTTCATAAAATATCCTTATTATTCATGTATATTACTACTCTCCTCCGGTCCTTAATATAAAATTTCATTGGATTTTTGCTTTAATCCTATTATAAGACTTCAATCCTCTTTGTCCCTCATATTTACGTATTTTTTTCTAAGGTAGTTCCTCTAATAATGGTAGTTTTAGCTAATAAACTTGATTAGTAAGAATATTTTAAGAAAAAAATACCTATTTATTACAAATAACTATCTTAATTTATTTTTTTAATCTCCTTAAATTAGTTAAATAGTTCTTACATTAGGACCGGAGATAGTAATTAGTTATAACTACTATTTGATTGAAACTTTAGCACAAAAATAAATAAAATTTGAGAGACAAAGTGAATTGAGATTTTATATTTAAAACTGAATTGAAAGTCAAATTAACTCTTATATTAAAGATTAATTGGAGGTGGTATATATTCTTACTTTAATTGCTAAACTAATATTTGGTGGCGTGTTATTGTTATCATTTTAATAGAATTAGGTTTGTCTGTTATGGATGAATTAAAGATCATTAACAAAAATACTTATAATTATCCATTGATGAAGAGCTTTTGATATTGGTATGGTAGTAGGCTGAAATAATCTATATACATGTGTAGGATAGATACAAGTTTTATATATTATCTTCAGTTCTTAATATAAAAGTTAGTTGATTAATTTGAGTAAATCAAGAAAGTTTGTTGAGCTAGTTATTTTGTAATAGTTAGGTATTATTTTTCCTAAAATACTCTTACTAATGATGTATATTAATTAATTAGAACTATCATTTGATTGAATCTTTAGCACGTTTATCTATTACAATAACTACTTTGAAAAACATAAATAAATTTGAGAGACAAAATGGATTGAGATTTTAATTTCTATTTAAAATTGAATTCAAAGTCAAATTAACTTTTATATTGAGGATTAATTAGAGGTGGTATATATTCTCACTTTAATTGCTAAACTAATATTTGGTGGCGTTGTTATGGTTATCATTATAACGAAATAAGGCAACAGAATGTTTGGTAAAATAGCAATTATTGAAAAACTCACAGAGAGCACAATATCCCCAAAGATCTCTCTGGTCAAAGGATTCCAATATATATAACTTGCATAAAGAAGTTTGATTATTCTTCCGACTCATGATAAGGCTAGTTACTTCAAGAGCCATCTAACCTTAGTTCAATTCCTTGATGTCATATTATCAGTATTCTCAAAATCTTTGACGAGGTCTAAGGAGTTGATTCCACCGACATTAGAAGCTATTTTTCTATCCACTTCTAGAAGACAAAGCGAACCTCGCTCAACTAAGTTGCCACCCTACACAATAATTAAAATTTGAATTCCCAACAATATGTTTAATGAGCGAGCACCAAGATTCAGTGTATATATATTCTAACTCTCTAACATATGTGGCCGAAAAACTAACTCTCATATGTACGTAAGTATGAATTAGATGTTTAATTATTTTGTTTGCGTGATATTAATGCGTTTTTTTTCCTTCTTTTAACAATGGCAGTTTAACTAAATTTTGTAATTAATTAGGGGTCATTTGTTGCCTCTTAATTTTCTGTATTGAATCAAGGCCCACATAAAGTTAAAGAATTAATAAGGTAAATAATGAAGGCATTATTATAAGTGAAGGACGTTGGACCACAAGGTACGTATACATAACCCATTTTAACTTCTCCGGAATTGACTGTGACATCGCAATCTTGTAATAAATAAAAATAATATGGTGTGGATTATGTAATAGTAAAGCCAACACAGCTTTTGAAATATACAAGTGACTTCTTGGAAGTCACTGGAACATGTGTGATCAGTGATCATTTTCCTTACGTAATTCTTTTGGTAGAAGTAAAGGGGCAGCTTCAAGTAGTTATTTATGCAGAGTTATATTTCAAATAAATTAAGCATATAAATGTGAGAGGCACGTGAAAGAATAATAATAGGATCATCTTTAATTTTCACTGCCTTTGTAGGAGTCTTGGTTCGTTTTTACTTTTCCCTAAGTAGGAAAATTCTCAAGGTAATGGTTGATTCCAGAGGTTACGTTCATGGGTTAACCAACCTACATATTTTTAATATTTTTCATCACTACTTAATTAATCAATCAATCAATTAATTGTTGATATACCTGAAGGGGAATGATAGTATTTTCAAGGATTGGGACAACCGGGATAGAATCATATACCGTGGTTAGCAATAGTCAATTCGCATGTGCAGCAATTTTCTGGTCCGAAATATATATACGAGACAAATTAAAACAGCAATTCCTAATCAAAAGTTTTCATGTGATTCTTAAACTCTTTCCAGCTGGTGATTGTAACCAAAGTGAATACACTGTATGTAGTCTGATAATGAGAACACTTTTATTATTTTTGTCATCTTCGCAAGAACCATCATTTTCTATATGTTTCCCAATAACAGTATCAATATCCAGTTTCTGAGTCCAAAAAAAAAAAATCCAGTTTCAAAACATTAATAGCCAACTTCCAAGCTTATTAACAATAAAAAAGTTCATCCTAGTTCGGGTACGTGATAGACTGATAGGTATATGTATGCGTATACTCCTTTTTTCCCGGTGGAAGCATACGTATGCCCTTGATCTACATGCTTAAGCAGCTGTGGGCCAAAAAAAAAAAGAAGAAAGAAAGAAAGAGAGAGAAACCATTTTTGGGGGAGAAAAAAAAAAACGCCCGCTTGCAAATGCGAGCCTTGCGCGCGCCGTTGCTATTGGTTTGAATCGACATGAGGAAAAATAGGCAAAGGCGTGAGCGGCAGGATTCGAACCTGCGCGGGCAGAGCCCACATGATTTCTAGTCATGCCCGATAACCACTCCGGCACGCCCACGCGACATGTTGCGGGGTATCCATTATTATTAATTCTAGATAATTTTCACTTTAAATTAAAGATCCAGCCCATAATTCTTAGCCCAGAGCGAAATTCCATGGGCTTAGACGGAGGCCCCAAAAGAGCCCATAGCCAGATTTCTTCAATAATTATTTTATTCGTATTAAAGATGAATATTAATAATTAATAACTAATAATTACAATGATGAAAAAATAATAATATAATAAATGTTATTACCACGTGGGAAAAGTAACTTAAGATTCTTTCCGATGTATTACTGTTCTACCTTCTGTCATTTGCAGGACAGAGTTTGGATTTCCACTAATGGCTTCAAATTTTTATCGAGATAAAGTATGGACACTAGACTGCCACAATTCTCCCTAAACATTAATCAAGATTTCGAAGAACATGCGTTCTCGGGCAAGTTGTGAATTGCGAGTTTTTTGTTGAATAAATTTCGCATTTTAGTACAATTTAGTTAAAATATACATTTGGTATTTTAATTTTATACATAGTTTTAGTTTGGTCTTTTAATTTTAAAAAAATATATCTTTAGTCATTTAAACCTAAAATTGTTAGTCTTAAAAGATATTTTTATAAAAATAATGGTTGTTTTAAAAATTGAATTTAATGTGTTAGGCTGTTAGCATTTGAAAATATTTTATTAATATTTAAGATCTAATATCATCATTTTCTAATGGTTTTGGAATTAAAAAACTAAAAATATATATTTTTTAAACTTAAGCTATCAAATTAAAATTTTGTATAAGGTTAAAAAAGTTAATATAATCTTTAGTCATTAAATTTGTCATCATTTTGGTTTAAGCCCATCAAATTTAAAACCATAGATTTTGGTTTCTTAAGAGCAAAATGATCCAAATTTTTATTAAGTTATAGAGACTAATACTTTAAATAAAAAGAAACTTAAAAGACTAAAACTTATGGTTGTGGTTAGTTTTATCAAGTTAGTTACGGCAATAGAATATGGATGCATGGTCGTTGAAGCAGTTCAGTGCGTCTGTGACCACAAGTCCATCGAGTACCCTGTGGTTTGCAGTGAAAGTGGCAAAGTCATCGTTTCTCGTCTTTTTGTTTGATATTTGAAGGGGTTTATTTCTGCAACTCTGTATGAAGCTCTCACAATGTCCATTCTTAGACTGCGAAAGGAATTTTATCAGATTTGACATGTGACACTGTGACAGTGATGGAAAAATCGACAAGTTTATAGGAGATAAATCTAGTTTGCCGCCGCTCCATGAATTGAAGGGTGAAGGTGATGCAGATGGCAGTAATATAGAAAAATATTATAAGGGGATGTTCTTGGATGGGGCTTATGCGGAGGCGATCAGAGGATTCCATAATCTATATTTTATTTGTATAAGCGTATTTTGACTTAGTGATAAAGTTACTTTATATTTTTTACTTAGAAAGAGTGCAATGACTTTTATGCCAACCTCTAGTTACATTTTTTTATATCCCCTAGTAGAGGATATGGAGATGGACTAGCTGATTACAAAGTTGAGGAGGACATAGTTCCATAATACAACTTTTTGGGATGTTTGTGTGTTGTTTTTAGAGAAATTTGAAAGAAATAGGATATTTAATACGTCTTGGGTTTGAGAAGGGGGTATGGATTAGGTTTTGCCCGGTGGCTCATAAAATTGTAA